CACGCTCACCGCGTCACGCCGAAATGTATTGGCGCCTCGACTGTGGTATGTAGTCATGTTTTCACATGCATCTCATGATTATCATGTTTGCACCAGTCACATACCTTCGTCGTCCATTCACGTCCCGTAATAACAAATTTGGTATAAGTGAAGCTAGCGAAACGGCCGCCAGCGCATCATGAGCGTGGCATGTAGTCATGTTGTTACATGACACGCATCTCATGATTATCATGTTTGCACCAGTCACATACCTTCGTCATCTATTCACGTACTGTAATTATCAAATTTGGTATATGTGACGCTAGCGAAACGGCCGCGAGCGCATCATGAGCGTGGTATGTAGTCATGTCGTTACATGACACGCATGTCATGATTTTCATTTTATGGTCTGTCTCTTGTGTTCGCCATGCAATCTTGTCATACCACACCAGTTTTTCAACATGCCATGTGAAGGAAATCACCGCAAGAGCTGCAGGACCATGAAATGTAAATCATGACAATGACATACGTATCATGATTTTCATGGAATAACTAGACAAATATGTTCTTCATACAGTCATGTTATGCCATATCAAGTTTGGTATTGATACTATTATCTAAACGGCCAGCAGAGCTAAAAGTCGTAGGCGGCTAGATAGATAGATACGCTCAAAGTCGCCGAAGTTCGCTAAGAAATGCTTCGCATTTAACAACACATCCAAACATGATAATCATGACACGGAAGTCATGAACGGCATCATTTACCTCCACCTGGTAACGTTGTGCTCATTTTAAATGGACATATGAACGTTTCTCATTTTTGCTACGCATATCATCGATTCCCCTGTGTACGCGGGATCTGCCAATTTTTTGCAGCCAGTGGTCTCGTGAATGTTGGCATGTTCGGGAGACCCAGGCCTTCAATGGTTTGTGCGAAGCTGCAAAAAACATTCTTTGTACATTTGCTGGTTTTTCTCCCCAGAGGAAGGTTCCCGCAATAGAGGCGAGGCCTCCGTGTGTTTAGAAAAAGTGTTTAACGATTTAGAGGACATAGTGCTATGGGAGAGCATAACGCCGTCCCGAGACACCATTCGAGTCGCCTATTTCATTGATGCGAATTTACGAGGTCCGAGGTTGAAACACGAGAAATATTTGTAACTCACTGCGGGTTGTTAATTAGAATGAGTGCCAACTATATGAGAATTTGACCATAAAGAAAGCCCATGCGACAGCCCAAGTGAGATGTGGAGCGTGGCTCCGTAGGTTATTGTGGATATCGAAAAAGATCCTCCACTTCTATGTCGTTGCATTTGCGCAACTTCTTTCTAGCTCAACTCGCCTACAAGCTTTATATATCCCCCACGTTTGCGCGATTCGCCAGTGAATTTGACTCCGTGGTTCTTCGACCAAAAAAATCGTTCCATGTCAGTAGTAAGAGAAACATCACGCGAAATCTCTGTTCTGTGTGCATAGCATGACGTATCCAGTGAACCATTTCATATAGTTAAAAGAAGAATCTAGAAAGGCCGCTCTTTCAGCTTTCGATGTGACTGTGCTGCGCGTCCCGCGCAGCCTTTTAGTTTAGTGGGTAACCCGGTTCTATTGACTAACGCATCCTATCTCAGTTCCTTTATTTTTCTCTGCGCAGTTGTTTCGTTTCCAGATTCATCTTTAAAAAGAAAGAAAGCAAGCGACCGTTTTATAGTTAGCGTGTGTCACCCGAGGTCAGGAGTTCAAACGAAGCGGTAATCTTAGTTTGCCCAACCTTCTAATGGGTTCGTCTGAAGCCGGGCGCAGCGTGTCGCGTGCAAATGCAACCGTTTCTTTATTTATATTTGGCAAAATATGAGAAGATAGGCTACATTAGAGTCGGTTATCCCAACATCATGACAGTAATGTACAAAATTAACACAAATTACGAAAAGTTAAGAATAAAAGAAAAAGAAAACTAATCCGAGGCACTATGCACATGTATACTACACAGGGCTTGTAACACTGAGCATAGTCCAGTTCATATATCGGGACCACATGGCGGATAGAGTCCGTACGAACACTGACAAGATATAATATGAACTAAAGACAGGTAATTAACTTAGTGTCCTTTGAAAATTCACGGAGGGCTCCCACTGCGTACCTTTGGTCATCAGAATTTGGCCACGGTCCAAGTATTTACAATCTTAAATGGTCGTGTAGCGAGTCGGTCTAAACTGTTACAGTGTCAAAAAAAAAAAAAAAGAAGCAGGGAGGGGGGGGGGGTTGTGATAATTGCGCCACGTGTCTGTGAAGCCAATATAAACTATAAAATTCGTTATTTGTATTGAAGTCTGTGTCAGTCCTTTCTGAGAAAAACAAATATGTGGGTTTCGCAACTTGGGACAACGCGCACACATTTCGGTTCCCGCTTAACCGATGCCATACGAACTTGCGGAAGTACACTTCCCCTAAACTTCCTACTATACCCCAAGCTCAGGCCTGAAGCTATCATTTCACTGTAATAATCTCTCACTCTTCTCGATCTAGGCCCTAGTTATCACTGATCTTGTATCACGTGTCTTCAGGGAAGAACGGTGTTTCGAAAGTGGACAATTACACCTGCTTTGTGTCAGTCGCACATTGGGATTCGCTCAGTTACATTACTTCTCTTTGCAAGATAACTTATCCCACCACAGTAGTGCAGCGGCTACGATGCTGGGCTGCTGAATCGAATGTCGCGGGCTACATATATACTGGCCCCGTCGGTCGAATATCGATGGAAGTGAAATGCTGTGGACCTGTGTATTGAGTGTAAGTGTACGTAAAAGAACACCAGATGGTCAAAGTTTGCGGACCTCTCCGCTATATACCGATGTCCTTCGTAACTATATCATGACTTTTGCACGTAAGACACCAGATATATTTTATGAAATCATCAGCCCTGTGATTCAAACAATCGTAATAATGACTGATAAGACAGCGGTTGGATATGAGACCCGCATACGCAAGACGTGTCGCGTTTTTTTGGGTGGCTGTGGGCGACGCCTTCCACGCGAAAATGAGTGATACACCGTAGCGTAAGCGTCGGTTGGATCTAGAGAAACAACCCCTACTGAGTTCCTAGTCCCACGACCAGGATGATCTACGCGAGTATATGTAGGCCAGATTGCCTAGGCAGCCTGCATACGGCCGCAGGCCGCATGGCAACCGTCAACCACGGTGGCAAAACAGGCGACGACAGCCGCGTTTCCTTGAATGTCTGCGTTGTTAATCTTGTTCAGTTTTGTTCCTGATCCTGGTGGTTCGATCTCAAAGTGCGACCCGCCACCCAGACCGATTCGCCTCTTCGTGCAAACTTTGCGGCAAACCAGAAGACTTCCTCCACATACTCCTCACATGTCCCACCTTCCCACATCCCCCACCTCCGGCTGTGACAGTGTCATACCGGGAGACCATCATGACCAGCATTTCTGCGTTTGATCAGCGCTGGATCATCTCGTGCGACATGAAGAGGATTGCACTTCGAGGGCTTTCTTTTGCTTCGTAAGGGTGCCTTCTTACCGTGAGGGAAAGCCCACGTGCCATGAGGGGGCTCGGCCCCCTCGCTCTAAATTGGCAATAAATGTTTCTACCACCACCATTAGCGGATTTGCGTAGTGCAGACGTACTTAAGGAGCTTGAGGAGTGAGGGCGAAGAACATGGAGAACTGTAAATGATTTCATGTCGCTTAAAAGCACGCGCCTTTGGTGGCTACCAGTTTCGCCTGTACTGACGTAACCGGATAAACTTAGAGGAGAGTTAAAAAAATAACTCAATGGTGGGTACCAATAGTACAACAGAGCAGAATCCCGCATATTGCCAACACTTTTTTTTTTCAGTGGACGAACCACTTCTGAAATGTTATCTGGTGGCATCTTTGAAGCACCCGAGACGTTGTAGAAAGGGAAGGACACAATCCACATAGGCTACAAACGCCACACAGGCGAAACGGCACGAGCATCACTCAGTCACGTCGACGTCTTCTTTCACTAACTACAAAAAGGCGGCAAGTGCATTTATAACAGTATTGTCTTAAGCCGTTCAATAGAAAAAAACGAAATAAATCTGTCTCAAAGTATTGCGCGACATTCTTTTACATGAAAATGCAAAAAAAAAGAAACTTTTCGTATACTGAGGCAACTTAGAAACACACCTTTCGTCTTTGTTTATTAATAAAGCGTGCGGCCGGAAGTTTCTTGGGGCCGCGCGCTTGCTACTATCGCGATCGCGAAGAGAGACAGAAACAACTTTGATTGATTGATTTGTGGGGTTTAACGTCCCAAAACCACCATTTGATTATGAGAGACGCCGTAGTGGAGGGCTCCGGAAATTTCGACCACCTGGGGTTCTTTAACGTGCACCCAAATCTGAGTACACGGGCCTACAACATTTCCGCCTCCATCGGAAATACAGAAACAACTTTATTGAAGGAACAGCGAGGTCGTCGCATTCATATAGCCTGTGGTTCGAAGGGCGGTGGTCCAAAGCATGGCCCGACTGTTCAGGCCCAGTTAATCACTTCTGCCCGAAGACGAAAAACTATACCCATAAACTTGTCGATGCGAGTCGAGCCGATGTTCGGGTGAACAATTATTGCAACATGCATTTAAATCCGAGCTGCAAGCGAAAGGTGCGCGGGCCCCATGTTTGAGGCACCTGCTGTATAAAAAAAACTAAGTCTTCGAGGAAAGCTCCTTTTGCGTCGAACATCGCGCACCCTGAGACTTGGGCAGAGTTCCGAGACTGTAACCCTTCGACGCGAGGTTACGACTGCACTCAGTCGACTGCTCCAGGCTCTCGGAGGTCTTGCTACTCGACCGCAGCGCAGTACCCGTGGCCTCCGTTGGGGTCGCGACGGGAGGAAAATCCCGGGGCCCGCGCTCGGCTGCGCCGAGGCCACTCTCCGAAAAACCATCGGAGTCGGTGTCGCGCGGGGCTCGATTTTTCGGGCGCGCAGACGCCGCGTCGCGCTTGTGCGAGTCGGAACACCGAGGTTAAGCAAGGCGGCGACACGTGTTCTCTCGAGTGTCCACTCGTGTACAGAGACATGCACGGTCGCGCCCTTCGATCCTGCAGCGCTACGGCGCAGCTGCGATGGACAGTGGTCATGCTCTGCCGCCTGATCACAATGGCCGGTGAGTGAAAACTCCTAGTATAATAGTAATAATATCCGGGTTTTACGTGCCCAAACCCAAGATAGAATTTCAGGGCACGCCGTATAGTGGAAGACTCCGTATATTTCGAGCGTGTGTTCTTCTTTAATGTACACTGATATAAGAACAGTAGACGGCTTCTTTATTTTGCCTTCACCGAAAATGCTACAGCAGCGACCGTTGTCGAACCCACGACTTTTTGTTGAGCAGCCGAGCATTGTATCTGCTATACCGCCACGCTGGTCCATCTCTGTTTTGTCTTATTCGTACCCAGCCTTGCACAAGAACTCTTGTCGTGACCTATCAACCGTAGCCAGCCGCCACACTTCTGAACTATGCCACCGTAGCGGAAGACTATATGCTGACTTCCGCGCAGTTTTACGATGAAACAGGGAGCCGTGGTTGGAGATTGCTTAACTGGGCAACTTGGCGCCATGTAATAACTTTTTTTGTGAGGGGGGGGGGGGGGGGAAGAGATATCATGGAAACAGCGAAAAAGAAATCATAGAACTAAAAAAGGAAAAAAAAACACAGAAGGACGTGTATATAAGGGTCAACTTCTTTGGTGTGTGCGCATGGCTTGTGTGTTGTCTGTTGAATACTTCTCTCAATGATTAGTAAACTAGACACAACATACGAAATAAATAATTCAATAATTAGCAATGAATCCTATTATAAGTACCTGGGCGTCTATATTTCCGACAATTACAAGTGGAATAAACACATTGATTGATTGATTTGTGGGGTTTAACGTCCCAAAACCACCACTTGATTATGAGAGACGCCGTAGTGGAGGGCTCCGGAAATTTTGACCACCTGGGGTTCTTTAACGTGCACCCAAATCTGACTACACGGGCCTTCAACCTTTCCGCCTCCATCGGAAATGCATTCGCCGCAGCCGGGTGGAATAAACACATTGACATAACTGTGACCAAGGCAAGCCGGATGCTATACTTCATACGCAGAAGTTTTAGGCAAGCTTTACAGACCGTGAAACAAACCCTTTATCTCATGTATGTAAGACCTATTTTAGAGTATGCTTGCGTAATCTGGGATCCCCATCAGCAATACTTGATTGACGCATTGGAAAAAGTTCAAAACCAAGCAGCCAGATTTGTTAGCAACAACTATAATTCCTTTGCAAGCATCACAGAAATGAAACGAGCATTGAAATGGGAGACACTGATGGTAAGGAGGCAGAAACTCAGGCTTAAATTTCTTCATTGTATATATTATAATGGAAATGCCATTAACCCTCTTGATTATCTGTTCACACCAGCGTACGTCTCTAATCGTTAGGACCATTCACGAAAAATATTAGAATACCGTTACAAAACCCACTCTTTCGGTAATTCTTTTTTTCGTAAAAACAGCACAGGAATGGAACCGTCTACCGGATGATCTCGTCAATGAAACTGATAATGAATCCTTTTTTTCTTCATTGTAACAACTCCTACAATATCACTGCCACTAAGAATGGTTTGCTGTCTTGAAGCGTGTGCGTGTTTTCAAATGCATGACTGTGACGTTGTTTTCACTCACTATTATTCGAGTGTTTTTTTTCTCTTAAAATATTTTGAGTGCTGTTTTATTTGTTGAATCTATTGTTTTGATTGAAAACTATGTAGTTAAACTATTATGTGTACCTCCCCTACGTAATGCCTCACGGCGATGTAGGTGAAATGTAAATAAAAAATAAAAACCGCACGAAATATCGACAGATAAAGGAGGTACACACAGACCCTCCCTCGCCTTACCGGCAATATCTCGCTATGTGCCACAAATCTCAAGATCAAAGAAGACGGTAACGGTCCGCATCGAAGTCTTATTTCTTTCTTATATATAATTTAGGAGGAAAAGGAAGTTAAGTGTAAACTATACGGCCGGCTGCATAAAATCACAGATATGACAACACAAGCACCACGTATACAACGGTCATCACAAGAAATAATAGTGGAACATGTTACATGTTTGTGGCAAAATGTGCTTCCCTACCATCACGTTCTGGGCTTGCGTTATTATCGAAAGCAGTCACGGGCATTTACAGTGTGTCGCCTCTGCTGCACATGCATGCAATGCGAGCCCAGCTTTGGAAGCTACCGAGTTTTCGAGAGCGTTGAAATATAGTACGAAGCAAACAACAATGCAGAGTTTTTTTAGGTCATCGGCAACGTATTTAGATTAGACTTCATCATCTAAAAACATTGGTCGTGGGTTCGATGCGCAGCTTCGGTGACCGCGTTCATATAGGTGCGATGGAAGGCAAAAAACAAACAAAATGCACTATACTTTTAGTGCAAGTTTATATAGAAACGCATGCCGTCAAATTTAGCATGCCTACATTCGTCTCTTACCTTCACCTAAGCTAAGACGAGACTTTAAAATCCTAATTTAATTTTTAAATTTATTTAGTAAAGTTAGTCTCATTTGTTTAGCTGCTGGAAGTGGGGCAGGTAAAACATGAGTGGCCTTTGGGCAAGGTCTATTTGTGCGTGTTAGATACTGCATTAGACGAGACACCATAAACACCGCGGCGAGGCCCTTGCCTTAATGTATAAAGCAAAATAAGAACAACTCGTGCTTTGTTTAATAAAAGTTCACCGCTTACTATAAACCTCATTGAAACGAAGACAAGGTCAATAAGCGCAAGCGTGCGTATATATGCCGCAGCTCGGAGCACCACTGGAATCGCTCTTCACATTTCCTGTAAACCGCGTATATTCTTTTCTTAATTCAAGTTAATAAGGTTTATCAGTTTCAATACTTTCTTTGTTTGCATCATGTATCGCCTTCCTGTACGTTGCGTCAGGAGTGTTCTGTCACTTACAAATGCTGCACAGGAGAAGGAAACAGATTGAAATGAGAAGAAATAAAAATATATCAGCAAACAAAACAAACGAATTAACAAGAAAACGTTCATATAAAAACAACGAATCAGTCAAGATAAGCGAACTACACTGGAGACATAATACAAAGCAGCGCAAAAGTCGGATTGAGCTCTGTACTGGCGGCACGGTTATGATAGCATGGTCTGATCGAACTTCACGCTGCACCCCGCGCAAGTGATTGTTCACTCAGCTCCATACAAGCATCCAGTTGTTTAAGTCGGATGATCCATGATTTTCCTTTCTTATTTTATTTTTCTTTTTTTTACCCTCTCTCTGTGTGTGCCGAAACTTGGTGTACTCGTCCAAGCACGCAGGTGCTCTCTTTGCGGTCTAAAATCTCCTCGGTGTGTGCAAGGCGGTCTTTCCTGCGCGTTAACTGAAAGGAAATGTCTGCGTTACCGTGTTACGATGACTCCTCTGTAGCGAGCGAAGACTCTGTGGCACACGGTGAAGATCTCATTGGGTTCGTTGTTCTTCCATCACATGGCATGACGCCGCGCAACCAAGCATACTAGAAAATATGTTCGGCCTTCCACATTCTGCTCAAGTTGGCAAATGGACACTGCTTGCTTCGTTTACTAAATGTCGCTAATGATGACCTCGGGTCAGTGGACCTTAACATTAAACAAAAAAAAAAAAACATTGTATGCCTCATCAAACTCGAAAATTGGCCGTCGGCGTTGGCGTCAACATGAATGGTACAAAAAATTATCACACGATGACGCCACATAATGGCGTCGTAATGCACAGATCACAAAAGTTCACGACATCATAATGACATCATCCTGGTGTTACATAGCGCGATGTGCGATGTCAGTGCACACGGTAAAGAACTCTCGGTGGTTCAAATTTCCGGAGCCGTTCACTATATACGGCGTTTCTCATAATCATTCCGTGTTTTTGGCTTATGGAAGCCCAGATATTATGATAATAGTCTCTTCGCGAGTTAAGGAAACAAGGTACGCAAACGTGGTACGATGTTTTTATACCGGGTTTTTCCTTTCTTCGCTCGTTGCGCGCGGATAAGCCTCTCCAAGTTACAGTTGTAGTATGTCCCCCGAACTACAGCTTCCCAGCTATCAGTGCATAGGCTAACAGGCAACAGTGAGGCATTACAACCCTATTTAAAAAGACATTTGTTTTGTTAGGGTGCCATCACTAGAATTAGGAGCGGCAAAAGTACGACGAGTGATGAGAGAAGGAGTGGTACCGCCAGACCGTGTTTGTGCACACTGTATTTCTATTTCCGTAACTTACTAAAAGACTGCCGTGTTAGTCGCGTCTGATTTTTGACAGCATTCCCAATGAACGCACGCATCTGAACTTTTGGTGCTTGCTCCGCGTTTGGTCGGCGCTTAACAAGGCATCAGTTGAGCAAAGCATATAAGCCATTTGACGTCTATATATAACGTAAAACGTCAAGCAAACTTGGCAATATAGACCTTGAATGCCTGTTGAAAGAATGCTAATATTACAGTTGATAGCAATAACGTAGATTCACTGAGTTGATTAGGTCAGGACAACAAGCTTGAAGTTATGTTGTGATTAGCTCTTTTGTCATTCCTCATTGCTCTCGCTTTCCTGTACAGACCCCGTGTTTGACGTGCCCCGCAGTGGTAGTCTAAGTGGCTAAGGTACTCGCCTGCTGACCCGCAGGTCACGGGATCGAATCCCGGCTGCGGCGGCTGCATTTCCGAAGGAGGAGGAAATGTTGTAGGCCAGTGTGCTCAGATTTTGGTGCATCTTGAAGAACCCCAGGTGGTCGAAATTTTCGGAGCCCTCCACTACGGTGATCTCTCATAACCATATGGTGGTTTTGGGACGTTAAACCCCACATATCAGTCAATCCTGTGCTTGACGTTTCTATTGGAGGAGCCTCAAATTGGCATATGAGGACGACAAGAGTAAAGTACGATGTTATTACTCAGACAACAAAGTTGTACTCCATACTTACCCCATTTTATATAGTCACGGGGTCGTGACGTGGACGAAGGAAGCAGGCCGTAATTGCAAGATGAAACTGTTTATTCGGCCGTACTTGTGGCCCGTAAACTAAAGGTCAGATTACAACAATGCCCACGGGCACTGATAGCGGCGAACAGAGCGTCGGCCGTCGATCAACTGGCACATGGTGATCGCGCGTCGGCATTTATACACATGTCGTCGAATAGTCTAGCGTTATCGTTAGCGGTGACGTAGGTTCCAGAATAATCTGCAATGTTCGTGAAGTGAGCGTAATCTTAACAAAGTGATCTATATACCGCAGTCTTGAAGCGTCTTGAACACCACAGGCGCGGTTTGCGCTGTAAAACGGGGCGATAACAAAACTGGAAGAGGGAATGTGACAATATAAAGGCTATTTGTGAGTGGCATTACATTATCACTCGCTCATATTCACGGGAAGGAGATGATGTGGGGTCGTGATTTTTTATTGAAGTGAGAAAGTTGATCATGCGTCCACTTATTCCTCAATCGAGTGGGGTGAACAGAAATGGGACGAAATTTGTTCAAGAGAAAATGTTTGAAGATAGGCCAACAAAATAAGTTTCCTTCTGTGACTGTACGCGAACGGTCGTTGAACTATGCAGTCGTGTTGAATCGATGAGAGTCGATTTCGCACGAACGTGCTCCGACTTGGCTGCCGCTCGTCGAAGCTGAACAAGCTGTGCAGTGCACATGATGGCGGGTTCGGAATGGCTGTTTAATAGAGCCTTGACGTTATTACAGGGAAAGAAAATTCAAATAAGGACTAGGAGACGAGGATATATACGGATGGTGGTTGCAGGAGAATCTTGCCTTGCAATGTACGAAGGTGATTGCGCCGCCCAGTCGTAACCTTCCAGAAAAAGATATGGGAAACATGGGCATCATTTAGAAGCGTTGTGGGTGCTGACGAGCAAGGCAGCGTGCCCAGCACAGGCAAACAGGTTTGGGTATGCGCTAAAACGGCGGTATTCGCTGGGAGTTAGAGAGACGGTATAAAGAAAGCGGCTGTCAGTGTCAGCGAAGAACAGGGAGTGAGAGATTAAGTGTGTAACGTCTCAGATCATTTTAGACAAACAGGGACTACAGGTTTGGGCAGTAACACAAAGAAAACAACAATGAATCATACCTGTCGGTCCTGACAAGAAAACTCGTCGTGCGAGTGGTGCAAACATCGCTGTCCTCATCTCTGGATCCTCTCTTACACTCTCATCTCTCGTCGACACTTCAGTGCTCATCCTCCGTTCGCTCCTGCGAGACCCACCATAGCTTTCGTACCGAGCGTCTAAGTATACGCGGCCCCGCAATCAATCACCGCGGACACGTGGGGGAGTGTCGCGCCGGAAAGCACGAAGTGAACGATGCGTCCGCAAATCTCGCGGCGTTGTCGCTTTATTTGTCACTCGGAGGACCCGAGACGGGCACCTTTCAGTGCTGCGTGGGTCCTTGCCACAATGTAACGACCTAACATCTGCACAACGAGCTCTTCGATGCGCAACGACAGTGCGATTCCGGGTGGCACCAATTAGACGTCTCGCTGCTCCCACTGTGACCGAAGAGGATGCGGGTGCTGGGGTATAATTAAACAGACATGCACCGGAGTTCTGTTGTTTTGCCGCCGCTCTATTCTGGTATGCTTCAGTGCGTACTAAACTTGCTTCACCGCAGTAGAATTTGTACGCTTTGCTGAACAACATTATTTTGCTTTGGCGAAACTTACAACAGTATGTACAGTTATTATTTTAGTGTTAAACGACACAAAAATAACGTCAATACAAAGCACTCGCTATTATCAAACTAACCCGCCAACGCCCTGTCCTAAACGTATTACAATAACGCTTCAGTTTTGGCGTTTCTAAGACAGCATTTATTAAAGTTTGGATTTTTAAGTGACAATAAACATTTTATTATTAACTGAATACAATAATTTTTAGCGCGCATGCATAGATAGTGAGACCAAATTTTTGTACCCGACGCAAACTCTTGTTGAAAATAGACAGCCGGCAAAGACCTAAAACTGTTTAATGTCAGAAGAAATAACTTAAGCAAAGTAGTTGTAATATTGATCATTTCGAAGCTGGCTTAACATTGCTAGCAGTACTTTAAGCTTTCTTATAGCTACCAGCGCTAGGGTCATCTCTAGTAACTTTTTTTAGGAAACTGCGTAACACTCAACGTGGCTTCCCGCGATTACTTCCGGCAATGCGAAAGGTGATCGTAAAAGACGTGTTCTCAGTAATGTTTGTACGAGGGGAAAGAGAGAGATAGAATATAAGAAAGGTAAGTAGGTTAACTAGACTACGCCCAGCTTACTACCCTACACGAAGAGAGAGAGGAGAATAAGGGAGTAAAAGGGAGAGAGAACGATAGAGAAGAAGATGCACATTGCTCGCCACACACAGTGCAGGGTTTCACAGATGGTCGCTTATTCATGTTGCCTTCAAGAATTCCAAGAGAGCCCGTGTGGCTTTCAGGGCTGATGTACTTGAAGACAATGCACCCGAGATCTCCTGTGTAAAGGGCCCGTAACGCTTGTCCGAAACAGCACGTGGCTTTCACGGGCTCCGATAACTCGAGAGAAGGACGGTCTTTGCAAATGCAAGGATAACAGTAAGATAAAGGACATTTAAGAGTGGAGATGAGCTTCGCGGCTGCTGAGTGTCGAGATAACAGCATCATTGAAAAGTGATTGCTTAAGCTATCCATGCTTGCAAACATGGATAACTATATAGACAACCAAGTATTGACGCATTATGCCTCAGTGTGTGAAATTTCACACATCGGGAAGTAATTTTAGACGTCACTTTACTGTATTCAATGACCCTATGCATATAATTTCGTGTAGAAAGGTTCACCAACATGAGCACTTACAAGCTGCCTTCAGTCGCAAGTTGCTGAAGCGTCGTGTCTGCCCTTCGTCGCGTTTATCGAGCTCGCCAAAAAATATCACTTTCGCCGCAAAGGCGAACCAATCAATGTAATAGTACAATTTGAATTCTTTTGAAAAGTAAGGCTATCAAGCTCCCTCTTTTTAATCCCATCTCGCGTAACGTTACAATATGCCGGTGTAAGAGAATATGCCGCTCCATGGAGTCAAGAGGTTTTTGTTCTGTCTGTTGTGTCAGCGCGAAATGGGCAGTGAGAACACTTGCGCGGGTATACGAGCCACCTATGACGTATGTGTAGATAGCACACCCGCCAGCCCTCGCAACCATACTCCTATACTCAGAGATTGTAGTGGGAGGAGGAACAGGAGGAGAAGGCAAAGCAGGAATGTTAACCAGTCTGCAGCGACCGGTATGCTACCCTACACTGGGGCAAGGAATGAGGGAGTTTGAAAGATGAAAAAAAATGAAAGAAAGGAGAGCGCGCACACGCGTTGGGTTCACAAATGCTGGTGACTTGGAACGTGTTGACGCACACTAATTGGCGAAAGTCCGAAAAGATGCAGTTTTAGTCCACTGGAGTTGCACTGAATGATGGATGCTTCCTTGACTTCTTAGAAATGATGGTGATCGTTATCGATATTTTTACTCGAGTGATTCAAGTACTGATCGTAGTGCCTGCTTAAATGACGCAGTTCAACTTTCCTCACAGGCGCCCACTTCATGCTTTTATGCCTGACGAAAGACGGGTGGACGTTTTCTCTCTGCTTGAGGAGCCATAGACTGGCAGGCCTCGCTCGTAGGGCGTTGCTTTCGCATGTGCCTTCCGTGCGACCCTTATGACCGGCTTACGTAATCTGTGCTTCAGTCGTGTTCGTGTACAGCGCTCACCAGTCGAATATTCAATGTACGGGACGATGTTATTGATTTAGGCCTCATATATAAAACATAATTGCGACGAAAAAAGGACCCACTAAGAATGGTAATACAATTGCCTTGGCCATAAAAATTGTCTCAAAGAAACGACAATGAATTGAATTCGAATCGCGTTACAAATATTGAGGAGTTAGTCAAATATTGACGGTAAATTATATTTTTTTTTTTTCACTTTTGCAGGGTTGAGCGAGTCTCTGAAACTGGTGCGGATCGACATGCCGAGCGTCGTGATTCGGGGTGAGCCGCTCTGGCTGAACTGCTCGTTCGACCTCGAGTCGGACGATCTGTACTCCGTGAAATGGTACAAGAACAACACGGAATTCTTTCGGTACCTGCCCAGCGAAATACCACCGGGGCAAGCGTATGACCTGCCGGGAGTCAATGTAGACGTGAGTCGAAGTGTTTCTTTGAACGGAGATATGCGCAAAGCGTCAAAGTGTTATCCCTACGCATAGATAGATAGATAGATAGATAGATAGATAGATAGATAGATAGATAGATAGATAGATAGATAGATAGATAGATAGATAGATAGATAGATAGATAGATAGATAGATAGATAGATAGATAGATAGATAGATAGATAGATAGATAGATAGATAGATAGATAGATAGATAGATAGATAGATAGATAGATAGATAGATAGATATAGATAGATAGATAGATAGATACGCTCAAAGTGGCCGAAGTTAGCTATGAAATGCTTCGCATTTAAAACTTGGGTATGAAGTCCCAAAACTAAGACAGAATTATTATAGAGACGTTGTAGTGAAGGGATTTGTAACGTTCGGCGTCCTGGGGTTCTTTAGCGTAAACAAAGATATAACGGACGCCGCCGTTGCCGATTTTCAGTTTTCTCGTTTAATGAGCATCCAGGGTTTTAGCTAAATATATGATGACTCGAGACAAACGCCGCAATCTACATAAAACGAAGCAATAGGGAAGCTGTTAGCTACCCTCTATGCCACTAAATGATATGCATACATGAGGATATCAGTTTAAGAGGCTTCACTAACTGAGGAAAATGTTTGCTATGATCATCAGTCTAAGCCAAGAGACATTGCTGTGTGGTGAGTTTTTCCTTGCACCTATTAAACATATTCTTAATGTTTCCTGAGTAATCATCTATTTGCTGTCAACATGAATGGTTGGATAAAGGGACTTTCTTTTGTATTCCTGAGAAATGCGACTATATAGCGCGCAGCGGGCTTCTCCCACTTTGGAACGTGCCGGCTAATCCTATAACCACCGCATTGTGGGCTCTCTGAATGGCCCAAAAGGTGATACTCTTGTTGGGGCTTCTGATGAATTTTAATAAGTTGATTTGCATTACCAGACTTTCCACGCTCAATTTCTTTCCTCTGAAATATTGGGCTTTCGAATTTATTGGTGCTTGATAAACTTGGATCCACACTTAGCGACAGAAAAAAATCGTATTTCTTTTCTATTGCTGCGAATTTCGGTTTGTGTATTTCATAAATAATTTTATAAGTTTGCTTTAATAATTTGTTGCTGTTTGTGATTGTCCATTACGCACGATAGAGAATGAAGCTGTTTTCTAAATAGAATAAAGTTGTTTCACCTTGTGCAATCTGCTTAGCCAAACTGTTCTCATAGGCGCTTGTGTGCAGACACTCAGTGCATAGCACTGGTATGAGGAGTTTGCAACGTGGAAGACAGCGAGCTCTAGTCAGCGTAAATACAAGCTCCGCCCGCATCGATCTCTGCCCACCCAGCGGAAATTCGCATAAATGCCTCATACCATCGCATTTGTTCAGTTCCGTGGCGTCATCGAAGTCTCATGTGTTTCGGATAGTTGCTGTTCCCATACAGGCACATCTTCGAGTAACTGGTTTTAAGCCGTAATCTTGAACGACCTGACAAATTAAATCAGAGATTCCGCTATGATCGATTAGCCAAAGGTGATATTTAGGTAGAAGCAACGGAGTTGTCACTTTCCATGTGCGTGGCGTAGACTAGCACAAATAACTCACTTAGGTACCAATAGAAACGGACTTGCATGGCTATTTTTCCTATAGTTGACTAACAAGCGCGCCACCGCTCCGTCGTGCGGAACTTGCATTTATTTTTAGGTTGTAACAAAGATAAGGAGCAAGCACGACCGACGGATGCAGTTGTGAGACAGGTCAGAGTAGTTGTTCGCATATATGCACATGAACGTAACTGTGACGCTGTTTTCTCGTTTCTCGTGCTGTAGCAATGACCGCCATAGGACAGTCACCATTGCAACTGCTGTCCTTGCCGAACCATTGAGGAGAACACTTTTCGCTCCATTACTCTTTCCTTGAGGCGGCAGTCGCGTCTGGAAGCCTAGATTATGCGAGTAAAAGTAGGGCAGCGGAAAGGAACAGTAACCTCTGAAACTTTTCTCACCCATGCTCAAGGCATTCGTCGCTTCTGGAACGGAGCCAAGATCACGGTCGCTGAGGCGTCGTTTTGGTGGAAACACGGCCGAGCAATGACACGTACGTCGTTTCCGTGTACTGAATGTGTACACTGTGCCGTCGACACTCCGGCAGTGATGCCCGGTAATGCGTCTGAGAGTTAGAAGGAAGCCATACATATTTGTTTGCTATTCCCTTTGGAACGTGTGTAACGATATGGCTAGCCATCCAGGTTGTACCCCAGGTTGTTCTCACATGCTAACAAATGTGGTATGATTATTCTAAATAATCTTTTTTTTGCAATGTGAGACAATGTTATTGATAAGGCTTTCAACCTTTGTGAAAATGGCAACGTCCTGTAGGTGTACTGTATGGTTCCCCGGGGCAACATGAGGACGCATCCTGTATGTTTCCCAACTGTCGCGATTTTGCCGCCGCTTTTATGTCGCCTCAAAGTGTTCGTCCAGTATATTTCCCATCTGTGACCGTCCTGTGTGCTTCCCAGCTGTCATGATTTGGCCGCCGCTTTTATGTCGCCTCAAAGTCTCCGTCCTGTGTGCGTCCTATAAGTATCCATCTTTTATACGGACCAGAAATTAGGCCCATTGCACCGTCTGCCAATGTGGCATAATACGGTTGCTGTAATTGAGATGTACATGGGCGCGCATACGAAACTCTGTAAAATTATTGATTTATTATCATTTATGCTACAGTTTAGTCAATTGTAATCTTGTTCGTATCAGAACGACACTGACTACTTTCAGTCATTATTATACAATACCTGAGATTTCTTTGGATCTTGGCATAGAGAGAGAGAGAGAGATAAATAGAGAGGAAAGGCAGGGAGGTTAACCAAGCTTGGCTCGGTTGGCTACCCTACACTTGGGGTGGGGGAAAAGGGGAATAATAGAACGAAAAGAGACAGAAAAGAAGAGGAGTAAGAAAGAGAAGCATAAATAGTCAGCTCGAAACTACACAGCACGGCCTCGCACAGTTCTTTCACAAGCGGTCGTGAAGTTTGGTGCTCCTTAAAAAGTACAAGAGGGCTTTCGTGGCTTTGCGCGTATGGGAAGCCGTCGGCCAAGGTCCCAGGATCTTCTCTTCTGTAAGCGGCCGTGAATCCAGCTGACAGAGCTTGGCTTTCATAATACGTCGTTCGGTCTGGTATGCTGGGCAATGACATAAAATGTGCTCAAGCGTTTCCTCGCAGGCGCAGATGTTGCATGCCGAAGTGCTCGCCATTCCAAGGAGACGAGAGTACGAATTCGTAAATGCCACGCCCAACCTCATGCGACACAGTAAAGTTTCAGCGCATCGTGGGAACCCGGATGGCAAACGAAGTTGCAAGTTTGTGTCCATCGAATACAGGTGCGTGTTGGAGAAACCCTGCGTATTCCATTGTAGGAGAGATATACGGCGAGCAAGTGATTGTAGTAGCCTTGCAGCGTCCGTTCTCAAGAGTGGTATGGGCGTGCGCTGGTCTTGGTCATGAGCCGATCGAGCAGCTTCATCTGCGCGGTCATTGCCAACGATTCCGCAATGACTCGGCAACCACTGAAATACAATATCGTGACCTTCCGCGAGCGCTTCGTGGTAGTCGTGCCTTATCTGATATACTGATTGTTCATGTAGCCCGTGCTGCAGAACCAACCGTAGTGACTGTAAGGCTGACCTGGAGTCGCAAAAGATGGCCCATTGGTTAGGTTCCTGGTGAAGAATGTACTTTACTGCACCTTGAAGTGCTGCGAGCTCTGCGGCTGTCGACGTCATGGTGTGAGAAAACTTGTACTGAAGCAACACATTTTCAGATGGAACAACCACTGCTCCTGTGGAGCTGTTGGAATCAGTGGAGCCATCGGTGTAAACATGTATGCGGTCGAAGTACCTTTCGTCCAACAGACGCAAAGTCAGTTGCTTCAGGGCTAGCGTTGACATGCGTGCCTTCTCAAAGATTCCAGGAACTGATAAGCGCACGTCAGGTTGACGAAGACTCCATGGCGCAGTTGCTGGATGCATCACAAGTTTGAAGCCAGGCGGTAGTATGTCCTGATGTTTTGTCACGATACCGCAGTACGAAGAATGGGGCCTCCGAGCTGTCAAACACGCTAAATGATGTGATGGTAGCCGTGATAAATGCCGAATGTGCGCTCTCAGCGTCTCGACAATGATGTGCGTTGTGACCGGTTGTTCTTGTGCAATAACAATAGTTGACACTGTCGATGAGCATCTTGGAAGGCCAAGGCATGTCCGAAGTGCTTGGGCTTGTACGCTTTGCAGTGCACGGATGTTAGTCTTGCACGTGTTGGACAGGACCGGAAGGCTGTACCGGAGAGTTCCGAGAAAGAGGGCTGTATAAAGCTGCAACATGGAGTGCACGGATGGGCCCCATGATTTTCCGGCGACGAACTTGAATACATTCTCAATGCCAATGAGCTTTTTCTTCAGGTATGTGACATGCGGGCTCCAGGTTAGGTCACGATCTACGATGACGCCTAAGAATCTATGAGTGCTCTTATATGGGATTGATCTGCCATCGATGCACAATGAGTAGAAAGACATCGGTTTGCGTGTAAACGCCACCGCTGCGCATTTTTTCTGTGGCGATAGTCAAACCTTGGTGGCGAAGGTATGTCGATGTCATTGTTGCCGCTTTCTGTATTCTTGCGCGCACTTTAGGTCGTGTCACGCCGGACGCCCAAATGCAGATATTGTCAGCGTAGAGAGATACATAAGCCGTCTGTGGCAGCATTTCAGTGAGCCCCACGAGAACCAGGTTGAAAAGTGTAGGACTCAAAACACCGCCTTGTGGCACCCCACGACTTGTGAAATACTTATTCGTAGACCCATCTTCAGTTAAAACGAACATAGATCTCTTTCTGAGGTAGCTTCTTACCCATCGAAAGACACGACCTCCAAGTTCAGCTGCTTCAAGAGCATTGAGAACAGCCTCGTGGGTCACGTTGTCATAGGGACCCTTCACGTC